TTCATTCCCAAATATACCTCAACTGTCTGCAGAAAACATACTGACAGTGCCAGAGCCCACGAGGATGGTAGTGACTCGTGTGACTGACATCACGTCAGCTGTTGAGCTGGTCATGCCCAACTCACTACAGAAAATCATTCTAGAAATGACTCATCTAGAAGGAAGGTGTGTTTTCAGGAAGAAGTGGACGGAGATGGATGAAATGCATTTACATGCATTTTGGGGGGTCCTCATCCTGGCTGGGGTCTATAGCTGAAAGGATGAATAAAAGCCAGTTTGTAGGATGCAGACACAGGCAGGGCTGTATTTCCTGCCACAGCGCCTGTAGAGACTTTTCATGACTCATTTGTCTTGATTTTAAGTCAGCAGGTCAATGTGACCCTGAACAGAAGAGGGTCTGGTGTTGATTTATTTTTATTTTTTTTTAAATCGATGTCATGTAAAACTTTTTTTTTTTTTTAAATATATGTAGGTCTTTCCAGTGTACCAGATAAAAAGTCTTTACGTTAATTTTTTATGAAAAACGAGTGAATTATCCTCATTGAACCGTGATCTGTGAGAGGTAAAAACACCATTGCACTAAATATTGATTGAAATGGTTAGTGATGGAGCTAATAATGAGATATAAATATTTATTAGGATTTTTTGGTTTCTGGCACTTTTGGATAATCAAACATGCCCCTGGTCAAATTGGAACATTATTGTTGTTAAAATGTTGCTGTTCCTGAGAAACGAACATAACAGGAGGGTTAAGGAGACCCCTACTGAGTCTCCAGGACTGAAAAGTGAAGCCAATGTGGAAGTGTGTTAAACAATGACACACAATGACCATCAGGGGGCGACTCCTCTGGCTGCTTCATCAAATCTGATTGTATAGAAGTCTATGAGAAAGTGACCCTATGTCTCCCTTGACATGTGACCTCAGTAAACATATCGAGTTTCTGATCTCAATTGCTAGTTTAGTAAATAATAGACTTAATAGTTTTAAGTCTGCTTCAATTAGCGTAATGCTTATTTTGTGAATTATGGTTCCATTTACAGTAAAACAGACAACACATCAGGGTATGTTTTAGGGTCGGGCAACCATGCGTTTGACAGTTTGCCACTCTATCGGCTTTTACTTGTTTTGTTGGATTTTAAAAGATCCTATGATGACGACAGCCAAATGCCAAGCTCCAGAGTTCCCAAAAGGTAGTCCCCGAACCAATGGATGACATCACAGTGGTGACATCCATTTTTTTTGCTCTCAACGCGATCTGGTGGCAACATGAATGTAAGATGATGCTCACAAACTGTCGCTGATGAATAGCAAGCTTCCCTGCAGGCACCAGTAGGGCTTGACAGGTTGAAAACATTGCGACCACTTGAGAATGTCAGAATATTGAGGTACAAACATCAGGTGAAATGTGTTTTCTGGTGTTTTGTTTTATTACATGCTATCTACAAAACTGACAATTGTACATATGAATAATCTTATATTAAAGTCTTTACTTTCCTCACTAGCTGTGGCCATTTTGAAACAAAAATGAGAAGAATAGAGCTTCAGCAGGAGAAGAGGAGAACTTGGAGTTGAGCATTGAGTCATTCATCCTCAGGCATTTTTCATTTTTTGGCTTTTTAAATTTCCACTCGAAAAACCTCCCCAAATTTTGTCTGTAACAGCTCCACAACTGCAAGGCCAAAATGAACAACCTTAGGCCCTGTGGATAAGAGGCACTTAGGAGAAGTTTAAAATACAATAAGCCTATGTGTGTCCGCCTCAGGTCCGGTTGAGATTTGAAAAATCCCAGCAAAAACTGACATTTTACCTCTGCCTAATCAAAACGGTAAATTAGAGAGAATGAACCGCCTCATAACAATGAATCACTGATGTGACTGAACCGATTCTAAAAATTCTCAACTACAGCTTTACCAAATATGATACAAACAGAAATGAAGCACAGCAGTGACACTTCTACTGGGGTCGCAGGAATACTAGGCGGCCTCTTTAGTTGAGGTACTAAGCTCGACAACCTTTGAAAGAACAGGTACAGATAAAGCAGTTATGCAAACATGGAGTTGGACAGGGACTTATTTTTGGCTGCACTTTGACTCCCTGATTATCAACAACTGCAACTTTTGTAACTCTAATATTTCTTTAAAAATCTGTTTGATATTTCATTGAAATATAAATAGTTTATTAAGTGACAGGTTTGAATTTTGCCATAATTTTTAATAATACAGAACTGTTGGAGCGGTGGTTTTGTCAGTAGGAGGGTGAACGCTGACTTATCATTTTGCTCTTGTTTTTTCAGTTCAGTGTGGTGTTTTTTTTTTTTTAAAGTGCTTTCATAGATATACCTCATCAGAAATATTAAAATGGAGATCTGAACAGTAGAAATACCAGATTTTTGTGCAACTTTTGGAAGCTCCAATGAAAAAAAAAAAAGCCAACTATTGTTGGCTGTCATGCTAAGCTAAGCTAATTATCAAAGGAGGGGATATACTTTTCATTCTCATTTAAGTATTTTATTTCTCTCTGTCTCTTCGCCGGCTGCAGTTGATCCAAAATGGTGCTGCTGGGCCAAAAAACGTGAACATATCACTCCAGTCTTGGCATCTCTCCACTGGCTTCCAAAGGTGACCGAGCCTTTTCAGTGGCAGCCCCCAAACTATGGAACAGCCTACTGCTGGACATTAGGGCTGCTCAGACTGCTGAATCTTTTACGTCTCGGCTAAAGATCCACCTCTACTCGGTGGTTTTCACCTCAATCGGGCGCTGACCTCCTGGATGCATAAGTCTGTAAAGCACTTTGGTCAACCCTGGTTGTTTGTAAATGTGCTACAGAAACGAAATTGAACTTGACCTTCTCTGGTTCTTTTATTTTCTGTTGTATGAAACGCTAAAATTTGCTTATCAGAGGGATGCATTCTATATTTGATTTTGTAAATAATGTGTAAATGAGGGCTGCAAGGCGGCGCAGTTGGTAGCACTGTTGCCTCGCAGCAAGACGGTCGCCGGTTCGTGTCCCGGTGGGGGCACCGGAATCGTTCTGCGTGGAGTTTGCATGTTCTCCCTGTGCAGTGTGGGTTCTCTCCGGGTTCTCCGACTTCCTCCCACAAGTTCAAAAACATGTTGAGGTTAATTGGTGATTCTAAATTGTCCGTAGGTGTGAATGTGAGTGTACTTGGTTGTCTGTCTCTAAGTGTAGCCTTGTGATAGACTGGTGACCTGTCCAGGGTGTCCCCTGCCTTCACCCTGAGTCAGCTGGGATAGACTTCAGCCCCCCACGACCCTAGTGAGGATTAAGCGGTGTATAGATAATGGATGGATGTGTAAATGAGAAAAAATATTTTACAAGAAATGTAATTTAAAAACAGAATTCTTAAAAAAAAAAGAAAAAAAAAACAATCTTGTTGTCATTATGTCTGTTATTATTTAAGTCGTTGTTGGTCATCAAAATAATGGAAGCCATTTTACTAGTCAGGAAAACAAAGATTATATTTAGAAGTACATTTGTAGGGTAAGTACATCTTTAAAAAGCTATATTTTAATTTAGCCAATTCGCCTGTAGCACATATTTGGCATCTGCAAGAAGCTAAACAGCAAGAAAAGTAGTTCAAAATTGGTTGAGTTGTGATTATTGTCACAGTGGACAGATTTCCGACAGGCACCAGGAGGCACAGCTTCCCAGCAGCAATACGACAGCTGCACTGAGGAAATCACACATACAAACCTATGAGTTGCTTTTTCAAAACCAGCTGGATCGTGCTTTCTGTATTTACAACCCATTTCTCGATTTGTTTGCGTTTTGAGGCTTACAGTTCAGCAACCCCAGCAACATTACTCAACACAGCTTTACCGCTGCCAAACCCACGAGTAAGTCCTCACCCTGAAAGCCCTCCCTGTTCCAGTGTTAATGCCCAGGTAACCCAAATGCAGGGCGCTGACCAAGAGTTCAGACGAATAGAAATAGATTTTACTGAAAGCTCTTTGGGAGAATGGAGGTGAAGGGAGATGAAGGTAATGGAGGGTGAACGTGGCTGCCTGAGAGTAGCAAACAAGCTGGTAGAGGAGGCAAAGCAGGGGAGAGGGTAAAAGAGTGAGCGTGGACATAAGGGTGAGGTGCAGGAAAGCTGGTGTCAGGAGAGGCAGGACTAAGGGGAGTGATGCTGGTTGAGCGGCTGGTAAGCACTTAGTTTGGTGAAGCAGGCAAGCAGACGGATAGGTAGCTGACCTGATGCACATTTTGATTTTACAAGCTTTACGCTTCCACTCACGCAGCGTTAGTTACTTTAAACACAATGGATGATGGAACAAGCTTTTAAAAATACAACACGCTGTTAAGGATTAAACCAGCTGCTTCCAACTTTTATGGCTTCTCACAAAGAGCAGTGTGTAGACGGAGTCACATGTCAGACTTCTGTTAGTTAGAGTTCAGTTAATAACTTCACTAAAAAGTGAATTTCC